TGGCATTTGGAGCTTATAAAAAGGTTTGTGTAGCTGATAAATATTTGATCCGAGGCATCCGCCACCTTAACGCAATGGTATAGTGAGATACAATTTGGATTGGAGGGTAATAGGTTCAAGGTTTCCAAGTTGAATTTTGTTAGATTCTTGTATGAAGATTTGAAACGTTGGAAATGGTCACAGCACTGAAAGTTCCCTTATCTACTTATTGCACAAGTTCATCCATCCTTCATCCTCCTTAATCTATTAGCCGAAATTCCGGCCTAGTTGAGCAATACCTCATTGAACAAGTACTGATTTACCGCGATTATTAAACTGAAGGGATGGGTGTAGCATCTTGAGACTTTTCATTTAGTATTCAGAAGGAGAAGGAAGGAGTGGGGCCTAAGCATGACCTCAGGCCAACCCACCCGGCAGAAGCAGGACGACCATCAAAGAGACCGCCATTCATACAGGCAATCGACTAAACGAGGTACTACAATGGAGAGAAGAGATGAAGGATCGACTTTAATTTTAATACATCGGAAACCGTTTTTGTTCCTTAATGCGATTTTCAAGGCATGATCCGACAAGGGGAACAAACTTTAATTTGCTGCCACCTCAACTCAGTGTTCTAAAGCGTCCGAAATTTTTTACCCTTTTGCAACGTAGATCTCATTGCGATAGTAAGCCATGTCTATACAAAAAGTTGGCAGCGGTTGTACCTACGGAAATGCAGAGGCCTGGATGGTCTTCGTGCTGCTAGAGATGGAACGTCAATTCGGAAGTTAAGGCATACTTTTCGCACTGCTATATTTTACATATGTTGAAATTGATGGTTTGTACTTGACCAAAGCCCAAAATATGATTTTCTGCTGCCACGATCCTTCTTCCAAGGGACAAGTTAAATAAAATGCCAAACAAGCACAACCTCTTATTTACTACTAGGAATCAGAATGAGTTAGCTTTAACCCTCCTTTCATTGTTGCAGCCAACCTTTAGGAGCATCGTTAAGTCGTGAATTTCGTATTCAATGGTCGAAAACCCTAAGTAATTGGTTATCTCGGAATCCTTCCAAATTGTTGCTTTTTGGTTCTTCTACCTGGCTTCTTAGCTTTGCAGGTCGAATAATAAAAGACCAGAAAGGCGACCGTATATCATTGAAACTGTAACGGGAATGTGATGAAGATGACAAGGCAATAAAAAGTGTCGCTACTTCCCAAAAAATGCACTCAAGGGCTTAAATTGAACGCCCCTCCAAAGCAACGGACCGTTTAATATTGTAAGAAATGTCATCGTTCGCTAAAGTTAATAAATGGAAGGTCTAGCCAATAGCATCTCGTCTAACAAGAAAACCAGAATTCGAACAAATTAACCAGGGAAATAAACGTTACCCATGCACTTGTCTTGTAGCAAGGGGAATAAAATGAAATGAATGAGATCGTGTTGTAGGTGAACGAGTTTTGCCCACCTGCGTCTTCGCGATCACCTTCTTGATCGACTGTTTCGCGTCGCGGATGCCTCGGCCTCACGGGAACTTTCCACCACTTACGCCTATCCCTTCCCTCAAGATGATGCACTGCAGTGTCATCATCAATCTCTGCAGTTATAACTCGCACTTTCTGTATCACACCACTGTTTTGGCATTCCAAATATACGAAGCACTGAGAATGTTTGATCGGTTAACGTCTTTTTAACTTTAACGAATTTTCAAGGCAAGTGTTTTAGGAATAAAAACTTAAGATTGTACCATTTTCCCTGCAATCATTTGACCGGAAGAGAAATGTCTAAATGTCAGACCAAATTGCCTCCCTCAGAACATTTGAGATTCGGTGCAATCATTCAAAATAAGCTGACTTGACTTGACTTTGTCGGATCAAGCAAAATCGAACTTTTTGCCCAAGACGTCACTTCGGTGCCTACACTGCAATCGAAACCGAGTCCAAAATGAATTTTTCTCATTTTACCATAACTTGAGCCGTCTGCGCTGGCAGTTTTGGGAAAAAAACATTTTGTTTTGCTTTTTCCAAAAATGGACCTATTCGCCAAGAGACTAGCTCATGGAGGACCTGGTATGCATGTCCTTGTTTGACGATGCAACACTTTTTTTGTGAAAACCATACGTTTTTTGTCCCGCATGCACTCGCATCGCAGAAATATTAATGTTTTATGCTAAATTATAGCAGGTCGTATTTGAAGGCTCTAGTTGTTGTGAGGCCACCTAAATTAAGAACATGCAGGATTGATAAATCTTTTTAATTGCTATATACTGACCGCGGTAAGTCTTGTGGTAAAATAGCAGTCCTAGACCTTACCTTTGTGAACTGACACCTTCATGAAAGCTCTTATTTCCGTTTATTTTGTAGATATGAAATTAGTATCGAATAAAGACAGGCAGATAGGTAGGTGGTACACGTTACAATCGTTCTGGTAGACCTGGAAACTGCAGGTCTCCTTTGCATACACGCATATCAATTCTACGTCAAAAGGAATCTGATCAACGCTTAGGCACAATGAGGGAGGTTTGAGCTGGCTGATGCTTGCTTGTGGCAGGGGGAGTTTGATGGCACCTTCCTAGAGAACCACCACTGAGCTGTTCGGATCTTTCCCTGTGTGCACCATCTCCAGGGGGTTCGAAGGGGGCTGTAATGTAGCATAAAAAGTGGAGACTCTTAAACCCTTCAAAAAAATTTATTTTAACAAATTAAAACTCTCCCTTATGCGTTACATTCATTATTCTGTTCTAAAGGCTGAAAGTACTAATTGTAAAACTATTTTAAATTGTACATCCATTTTACTTTTTAACTATTCAAAAAGTACATTTTAACCTTATTTATTAGTTAATGTGCATTTGTACAAAACGAATTTTACTGGTAGTAGTGTAGAATGCATTAGGAGCAGTCTTCACAAAGCAATACCAAATCACTGCACCGGTTTGAAAGGTCTGCGTAAGTTCGCAAGGGCGTGAGGAAACGAGGTCCGGTTCATGCATTTACACTGCGCTATCTACTAATTTACTCAACTACTTTAGAGGCAGTCATCACGGAGATGAGGCATAGGACCTTAAGTATGAACTTTGTCATCAATTTTTCAAATTGATGGACAAAATGTGGAAGTTATTCGATGAAGGAAAAATCGATGTGTAGTTCAAAATGAAGGCAATATCACTTGCGTGGGCATACTAGTCATGGTGTGGAGAGTGTGCATAAACAGTAGAGCATCATGACTTCTCTTGCCCTCTGAGAAGCCTCGATGGGTTGAACCAGCAAGGCAAAACTGTGGATGGTTCAAGTGAGTAATTTTTGCAAACAGATGATTGGAATGGATGTTATTCAACGGACATAGAGCATGAAATCTGGTCACCGGAACTTAAAGCATTCAATACGTAGCTCAAAACCACCTCCTTAAAGGAGACGACAAGGCTAAGACTGAGTGTGTAAGTCAAGGCTAATAAAATGGTCGCTGGTAAAGGAAGAATGTACGTCAAAACGGTCTGTGTAGCTGTCAATAATTTGCATTTTGTAATTCCATGGAACGGACAGATTAGATTAGGGGTATTTTTGATAGATCACTTTTTTCAAGCCGAGGCCATCATCAAAAAATCGCCATTTGCTTGCAAGATCGAGCACATTGGTAGGGGTGGATGTCGTCGCAGTGATACATTTTCCCCAATGTTTCTTGCAAGAAGACAATATTAGGTTCAGTCACAGCAAAACAGAATTTGGGTGCATAACAAAAGTAATTTTCAACCATCTGAATGCACTTTGAAGCAACAAGCTTTATTATAGCGAATTTGTAAATATAAAAAATGGTGCCTGTGTTGCATTGAACATTTAAAAGTATTCATTACGAATAATGCATTGAAGATGTTGTCGGTCCAGTGTTTCATTAATCAAAATGCAAATCCTCTGAGAGATTCGAGTTTTTAAGGCGCATTTTGCACTCGCGAATTATCTACATTCCTCACTGCCTTGGTCTTGTCATTGCGTAGAAGCTAGTCCTTTCTATGAATGAATATGCTGCATAGAAGGGAAAGTGCCTTTCAAAGCAACTTCTTTCACCACTTAACCCACAGGAATGGCAAGTAACACGATGCATATAAAAGGAACCGTTTTGCATCTATTTTCTGCCGTCTGAGTGGGATAAGAGGGACATCATCTATAAAAGGCCTCATAAGAAGTGTTACATCGACCAGACGTTTTGCAGGCAAATACAAACCATTTTATTTCCAGCACAAAAGACTTCTTTCAAGATGTCTGCATATGGTCGGGTTCAAACGAGGTGTAATGTTGCAGCAGTGGTAAGTTCAACCATAAATTCCAAATTTTAAAAGGCATTAGGCAACCAGGGTGCATTTGCTAATTGCACTAGCATCCACCATTTAGAAATAAAAAAATAATTACTGATGCTTGAAAGTCTGGTGTGAGACGAACCATCGCAATCGCGGGGGTTCTAGCAGAGAACCAAACTGCTACATTTGCATTTACTGGAGTCTTTCAAAGCATGATTTCTGCAATGGTCAGTCTTTTTTGAAATCCATTTTATGCAAATTACCAGTCATTTCATTCTAGGTCCATGCAAGGCACCCCACGACCTGCTCATGATTTCATCTCCCAACTCAACCGACCTTTATTGTCCTTTTCGCGTGTCCATCTATTTGCAATACATATTCGAGAAAGTTAACGACATCCGTCAGGCATAAAAGTCTCTAAGATTGCGAGGGAACACTGTGACTCATGTTTCACCGAATTAAAGTTAACATTTACAATGGGAAATATGCAATTGAAGTTTCAGTGATTCTTTAGCTTGCAGCAAGTATTGGTTGAATAGGTGCATAAGTAGTTGCATACAGTTCGTTTCCTTCCTGACTTCCACAACGCTGTGGCACTAATGTAGCAAGCAATGTAGCAAAGATGAGGCAGATTATTTATGCTGACTGGTGGAATACTAAAAACCCTCTAAACAGTTTCAGAGACATCATAAGGCATGTTATTATCGTGTTTCAGACAGCTAGCAATCCATTAAATAACTTCAAAAATACTACCCACTGGGCTGACATAGAACCTCCGTTCGCTGGAAGTTCGCACAATGGTAAGTTGGCTGCCATTTTCGCTACGTGCCTTTCTCTCAGGTAGGAGGAGCTGTTGTTTGTCTGGCGGCATCAGCTGCATGTGGCAGTAGGAGTTTCTGCGTGTCAATCCATGCATACCGTTGACAGACGCCGCCTTCCCCGGGAGACCTTCGAAGGATCGACAAAAGCAAATGGCTTCGGAAGTTCGTTTCCTCCTTCTTCGGCGTTTAATTTTTGTTTTCCCTTCGGCATACGCGTCAAAACCCCTACCATTACTACTGTTTCCTTCCACACTTTCATTATCACCTATGTCTCCGCAATTGTCCTCATCACTATCGTCCGCATTTTTGTTGTGAGGATCGACTTCGTTGATCTGGAGGATGGGAGTTGTGGGAAGAGGAGGCTGGGAGCTATCTGTGGATTGGGTTCCACCCTCTTCTGATAGCGTTAAAACGCGTTGACATGGTAGGCTGAAGCGGATAGAGGCGGATTCGGACTCGTCAGTGTCAAAGGCCGCGTTGGTCACCTGATTATGCTTCTGGTAAAGTTGGTTTGCGAGACCTCGGCGAGAAAGGTGGATGTTAAGCTTGTTCAATGGACCAAGGGTTTGTCGACGGCGGCTGTTTAATGGTGCGAATCCAAGACTAAAAGCATTTAAAAAATCGAATATTAGGAGGAGTCAGATTTTTCGCATTAGGCATTATTCGTGATTTGTTTGCAACAAAACCTCACGTTGCGTTAAGCGTTGGTTGAATTAGGGCTTTAACCAAGTAGGATGCCTGCAAGTTTGGCAGAACTTATTTTATCATACAATAATACCATTAGGTGCTTTAATCGATGCACGCAATTTAGGTTATTTATCCCAAAAACACAAGAGTCAAAGGCATTAGTTATTATTTGTGTGTTTAAATAACTTGAAAAGATGTGTGTTTAATTATACCTTTTGGATAAACAATTGATATATGGTGTCAGCCATCAGGTTTTGTTGCCATTTATACCTCGGTAATTATAGACATTAATAGACGTTAAACGCCAATCTAAACTTCCCAATGTATGCTACAAATCCTCGAAAAAGGTGATTTTTTACTGTCTCAAGCTCAGAGCAAATCGTATTCACTTCAATTTTAACTTTTCGTTGGTCAAAAACTCAAAGGGAACTAATGGAGGAATTTTAATGATGATGAGATAATCCAGTTTTTTAAATGCTCTGACCCTAAAAAGCTGATTTACAGAACTTTGGGTAGAAACGAACCGAGATGGAGGTAAATGGATGTATTTGAGTTTTTAAGCTTCTTAGAGTTTCTAAACTCTGCGACGGCACTTGTAAATGCAGATTTTTTGGAGACGACGCGTGGGCGGATACGCAATACTGGTTAAGACAATGCAAGTTAGTGTTTGACCATCCTTAAAAATTGTCAAGTTTGCTCCATTGAGTTGTAAGAATCAATGGAGTGAGTGCGAAATGATCTGTAGCAGCGGAGAGCCTTCTGATTCAAAGCGTTAAGTTAAATGGAAGGTGAGCACTCAGGGTCATTTTTAGACAATTTTGGGCCTTATGTGTATTCAGCTGAACATTAAGCGCTAACACATGCTCGTTGGATGGTGCGGCACCTTAAATCACCACCATTTTACCATATGGGTACATCAGCTTATCAACTCCTACTTCTCTCTTGCCTCTCCCCTCTAATTTACATTGCATATGGGCAAACAATTCCGTACTTTATTCAACTAGCACTGATGTTTTAGGTAAACGGAAATGTTCCTCATTTGCAGTGATTAATGCAATACTTCCTTGTTGAATGCTTCAAAAATATGACAAAATCGTTTCGTACTACTCGACCTCGCCTAAAACTTCCCCAAGTACAGTAGAACTGTTATAAGAGGTAAAACACATTCCCTCGGTGTATAGAATTGTGGAGAAGCAACATTTTACTTTGCATCGGACACAGAAGATCGTTGCTTCCTTGCTGTGCCAACTACAGGAATGGGACTCAAACTGTGCATTAGCTAATTTATATTCCTCCAAGAATTTCTCTCTCATGATTCATTTTACGACTAAGTTAGTAAACACATCAATTACAAGTAGACTCTTCAAATTGTCGATCATCAATAAGCCCTACACCTTCTCTACTGTAACTTTAACATTCTACAACCTCGAGCAAGCATAAAAGAATTGGCTCTAGATGGTAAGATAGCCATCAAGTGGAGCAGATCGTCCACCGTAAAAGGTTTCTCTTAACTTAAAGCGTCGACTTTCGTTTCAATCCATCCAATCAGCCACTGCCGCCCGAATGCTTTTGCGGCTGTTTTAATTCGAAGTTAATCAAAATTTTTACATTTAAAACTTTTGCCTACTAGAGTGGTGCACAACTTTAAAAAGCTTTTTAAAGTAAATCAATCTAGCTTTTTCCCAGACATTCTTCGACAATTGAAATTAAGAACTTGCATCATTTGATAAAACAAAGCTTATGTTCTCCAATCCATCTTGTTTTAGGTATAATCAAAACGCAGAGTGCGCCCACGCTTACTCTAAGCTTTTCCCCCTTTCCTTCCGTCCTTCAAAGGAAACCCGCTTGCGATAGGCACCGCCGAAAAGATCTTTGAGGAGGCTTCTTTGGGGTCGCTCCGGTCCGCTATTCTTGCGTCTCGGTGAGAAGCCATGCTGGTGGTAAATGGCCGCCTCGCTCTCCTCAATTGCGTTGCTAAGTTGATGCAACAGTACGTTGCGGACCAGATTTTCGGCCTGGCTGCGCATCATTAATTCCTTCCGATTTGAAGTGGGGAGGGAATTTAGGCTGCCCGGGCTGGAAGCGGCATCTTCGTGAGTGAGCGATGTCAGCATCCCCTTGCAGCTATTCAAGGAGTCATAAGCACCAGAGGAGCAGGTGTCGCCTGCGGCTAAGGATGATTGTGAGACCTAAAATGTGATATAAAATTGTTTACAGGGCGTGCCGTTGTGATTACTTAACTGAGCAATATCATGATAATTTTAGGAACTCTTCGTATTGAGCATTTATTTTATGAAAATTCATCCATATTCAAGTCTCATTTTTAATGGCCATCCAGCTGTCACCTATATTTCACAAATGTCCAAGCAAACGATCATGCGATCAAGAATAGCTAAACTTTTGGTACCTTAAGGCTTTTTGAAACACTAAAAATCCAAACTGAAGTCGTGAAGAATTCATTCACCCGAATTGCGCCATTTTACTTGACACAATTCTTCCCTTTGGACCCATTAGAATTTGCCTTCAGTCGAAGTAACTCCTGAACTGAACAATCGTTAAACTGTTTCCATTGATGTCGATTGAGGAACTCGGTTATCTCGCAATAGCAACGACTGAAGCCAAAGAGGTGGATGCCTCTCAACATTGCATTGCATTTTTAGCCTCGCATCTTTCAACTAAGTAATCAGAAGCTCTAGACCAGCAAAAGGGATTTTAATCAAGCAGCTAAATACAAACCAGAAAACGCATTTAAGCGTTAAGGAACGGGTAAGTTAATCCAACTACATTCCTACTCACATCGCGTACATGGGAGCAAAATCAAGGGCGAAAAACACTGCTGTTAATCCTTCAATGACGAGTATTAAAAAAAATGCACTAAAACCACTATTGCAATTAACTGAGTATTTATGTTCTTTAGAAGGCGATAAAAGGTTAAGCGACAAGATGCGACACGTCCACCTTAGCCGTGTATTTTGGGCTTCTCTGAGGTCGCAATTCTTGCAGATACTTGCACCAAATATTTTCACAACAATTTTCAAGGTATTTAACATTCACTACCACCTAACTTTTTTGCAATTTTTTTCTTGCATCTTCAAACAGAATGAGCCTTGGTTGTCGCATTGAAATATTTTCAAAGTTTTTTTGTCGTCATGATAAATGTAGTCTCTCAGTCATTGTTTCGACGCACAGATGGGAAATGAATGACCCCAGTGGGGAATGAGCCATGACGTGGGTTTGGCAAATGACACAAATTCCGGCTAAATCTCGTTTTATCTACAAAAACCGATTTTAAGAGAAGTATAAAAAGGTGTCTAAACATTGGTACTTTCGTGAAAGACAGCAATTCTGCTGCTGTAAATGGCACTAAGATTTAAAAACGAGAATGGAAAGAATATGTTTATCTACTTAGGGAGAGTGGACTATACTCTGCCTTACTGAGTGGTCACCTTTACAAAGTATAATGTTGACACACCTGATTGGCATTGTGCGAAGGGAGGCTGTTGGCAGTGAACCGAGTTATGGACTCCTTCTGGACAAACGGAGCCCCAACAAGTCCGCCCATAAAACCAGTCGTCAAGGCGGCAATTGATTTCAAGGCATTTTGGGTTTGCTCCTTCGAATGATACACAACTGGAGGCGCAGGCAATTTTGCTTAAAGCAAATTTGTTTTAAGTAAAATAATGATCTTTCACAATTGACCTACAACGAGGTTTGCAGTCCCTGATGGATTCGTCTGAGCAACCAAGATTTCTGGCCAACTCTTCCAGATTTGTGATATGTTTCTACGAGTTTCAAAAGGTAAAAAGAGAATACAAGTATTTGATGCATTACAGTCAATTAATTTAACTTCGTTTTAAATAATACCACTAGTATAAATATGGGATAATGCCTTCGTCCGAGTTTGGTAACATTGAAGTTTTGCTGACCTCACCTGAAACAATTCTTTATTTCTTTGAAGAGTATCAACTTTTCGTTCTTGAAGGCGTCGCGCACGCTTCTGCAAAATCACACGAAATTCGCAGCGTTGTCTCTCGTACATTAACATGGCTAAAATTCAAAGCATTCCTTCTTTTTGCAGCGACCCTTTGAAAATTCGTTTCGACAAGCTGGTTTTACAACTTCAAAATTTTCAGCTTCTACCACTCAAAGGTGTTTTTGTGAAAAACCGTACAAACAGGAATTTGTTTCCTCATTCAAACACGCAAAGGTCAATGCTAACCCGCTGATTTTAATGCTCAGGACACTTTTAGTACCTTCCTATTTTAATATGCCTTCATTAGGCAGTCCAGCATGACATTGTATTGCGCAGGAGGTGTAGAAAGTTGGTTTTTTGGTGTCGTACATATAAATTGTTTCCTCATTAGTGCATTTTTCCTACC